GAAAAAAATGTCTGCTATAGTTCGATCGAGATCGCGCATTTTCTCGATAATTTCGAAGAGTAATGACATTTCTTCAAGCGTTACTACTGAACCTCCGAAGGAACCGATAATTTCAGCATCATCGCTTCTCAAAGATCAGCCTCCGCCATCTCAGAATACCCCTCCTTCTCCAGAATCTTCTGGAGCTGAGAAGAATCGATGGAGTTTTCTCAAGTATAGCGTTATTGCTGCTGTCACCGGTGGTGTTGCCACAGCTGGTTACGCTACCTGCAGTTCGTTTTTTTTTTTTTTTGGGTTTATTATCTCTATTCGTTCGTTGAATTAGTGTTTGAATTCGCATTTGCATTCGAGCATTATTTGGATTTTGAAATGAAGTGAAATGGATACATTACTTATAGCGGACCTCGGCTAGTTTGCACTTTAGGTGGTTGATTGATTGGAATTTAGATTTTGAAATTAGCTTCTTCACACATGCACTATATATATGAATATTGTGAAGCTCCATAAAAAATCCTGCAAGAGCTGTAAAGTGTATGTATTGCGTGCTCAGGCACACCGCAGACATGCTTTTTCGGGTTTCTAAGTCGTGAAATATCTATTAAAATACTTGTAGAGTGGTAGGGGTGAATTTTCTCTTATGCAAACTCTGAATTTTCAATTTTCTGGTCTGATATCATACGAGTGGATTATGACGCATCTTGGGAGGATTTAGAAGTATTCTCTGTGCAGTGCTGTAGCAGCAGCACTTGCTAAAGTGTTACATCTTAAATTTTGGTGGTCTGAATCTGATCAAATTCACTGAAAATTGCCAACCTAGGGAAAAATAGGATTTATTTGTTTGCGGTTTTATCCATTCTCACTCTTGATCTTGCTATTGTTCTCAATTCTCATCTCCCTATATCTTTTATTTGCTAGTGTTGTAGTCATGCCTCTGCTCTCCAATTAGTTCTCTTCAGTCCTACATGCGGAAGTTTCAGCTATGAAGCAAGTATTACCGGATAGTTTTTAGCTAAATTTCCATCTGTTATTAGTTAACATGTTTGTTGGGCGAAGCAGAACTCTTTTACCAGATCAAGCATAGTTTATGTTCCTCAAGGTGGATTTTGGCCTAATGTTTGAAATGGACTTCTATGTTTATATAGATCATCTCTGTGGAAACACAGAGATGAGGTCGATTCTTGGAAAAGCCTAGTTGGTCTGGCTGATTCATTAAATATATATTTGTTCTCTTGCATATAATTACGTAATCTTTATCCTTTATCTGCAGCATACACAACGGATGAAATTGAGGATAAGACCAAGAGTTTGCGTGAATCTGCGAAATATGCTGTTGGAGATGATGCATCTGCTTTGGATGTGAGTCCTGCCTTGCACTATATTAGTGTTACATGTTTGCTTATTGTGAGCTTTTGGTGAAGCTGTGCTTGTTTGAAATTAAGATTTTGACGCGTGCGCACACACACATCAATACAGACATATATATTCTGCTTGATATTGTGGTGGTAGAAGGTGGGCTCTACTTATTGCAAATTCAGTACAATGCTCTTCTTAGCTTCAACTGTTCAACTTGATTCATGTTTATCATTTGTGCCTATTTTGGCAACAAATTGCTTATCATGGATTGTTCAAAAATTTGAACCGGGTCTAAGTGAAATGATAGGATTTCTTAATGAATTTAAAGCCTAAAACACATACTACACTAATAAACAGCTCCTAGAGTATATGGCTTGATCTTATATGCATTGGTTCATCTTTTACTCAAAAAGCTGGCAGTTGTATTAGAGTGCGAGTAGAATGAGGGTTAATTGTTTCCTTTCTGTGCAGAAATTTCAAGCTTTACTATACTCCTCGGCTATGACAGGTTGGTGATGATTCATGCTTGTCTTTGGTACATATATCTTAGTTTAGTCAAGAAGGGTTCAGTTTTCTTATTTGTGTGGCTCCTTGTCGACATGCATATGGGCAAAAGTTGCCTACTCCTCAAATCATTGTCTCTGTTGTATAACATACCATTTCTTTGGAAAGAATCATTCTCTGTTGTGTGTATTATTTACTATAATTATAGACACTCTTGTTTTTAATCATGCTTTTCCATTTTAATGATACAAATTCAAGCATTAATTTGTTAATTTTTACATCGCATGGCATTTCTGTTACCTGGTCAGTGCACGGTGGCATGCAAAAGCCTGTTATGGATTCGTATCATGTACTCTGTCATTTTTGCCACATGAAATTTTCGGCTGCAGGGGGGTGTCTGTCCTGCACTTTGTAAAGTGTGAGTGATTTAAGGGTCTGTCATGCATTGACTTATTGGGGCTTAAAGACAAGACTGTTGAGAAGTGAATTCATGGGTCCAGTGGTTTCTGACTGGATACTTCATTCTTGAGGCTGTTCTCTAACTTTAGGTCTTTTTAAAAATTTTGAATTGATTCAATTGTGAAATAACATAATTATATCGCATCCACTGCTAATGTGTTTAAGTATTTATGAGTTTTTAGTGAACATTCACATGCTATATAATCTTCTTAATTCTGGTGTATAATATTATTTTACATGCATTCCATACTAATTGTTAATTTTAAGCCCCAAAGTCTTTTTTTAAGCTGATATTTGTTCTTTTCTTTTGATATTTCAGTGCCTGCCAAGCTAGTTGAGTTTTACATTGAGCTAAGGCGGTTGACAGAAAGTCAGGTGCAGTTGAGTTTTTACAGGCAGTTTAGTTTTAACCCTTTCTTACCTTACAACTGTCTTAAATTCACCTAAAATCTTTTGCTATGTTTTAGGGTTTTAGTGAACCAACATCAGACAAACTACACAGTTTTACTTGAGCAGCATGTCTTTACCCTTGTTCTTGATCTTAGCGAGACATTGATATACTCGGATTGGAAGGTAGAAGTACAAATTATAGCATTATTGTCAATTAGTGGCTGAGACACTTTAATTTATTTATGGATCAAGTACTAGTGCAATACATTGACAATTCAAAGTTAGAGTTCCCTTATGTTTTTTCTGTCTGATATAGCTTTGTGTCCTCAAAGCATTCAGATCTTTCCATCTTTTAGTATTTCCTGCATGACTACTTACTTCTGTAGCCCTTTAAAAGCGTGACAGAGGCTGGAGAACATTCAAAGACCGGGGGTTGATGCTTTTGGAACATTTGGCACAATATTTTGAGATAGTTGTATACTCTGATCAACTAAACATGGTACCTTTTACTTCTCTATTAATGTCTTCTAAATATTGTTTTAGTTGTGTCTTAAAAGCTTCTTATGGTTTGCAGTATGTGGTCCTGTTATCGGTGGGATCAAGCACTGTATCGTTATAGACTATCAAAGAGGTATTTAAGATATGTTGATTATTTAAAGCATTACAAGTAGGTTTTTGGCCTCATCTCCTCTTAATATTCTACATTTTAATATCCCTGAACATTATCATTTGTCATAGCTGCTCAATGTCCTTATTTATTTCATCTCCTTTTATTGTCATTTTTCTGCCACTGTATTTGGATTGTAAGCAATAATGCCATTGCTGTTTTATGTCATTCTTGTAGGAATGGAATTTTTATTTCCAAGAAATCTCATGCCCCCACTTTCATATACTTTTTCTTTCCAAAGTCATAGCTCCAAACAATTAGTTATTAGAGAACACTCTTTCTTTGAAGAGGTTTTCAGACATGTGTTGCCCTCAGCAAAAACGTGCTTCTGTTCACAGCCCCCTTGCCGCCCACCACCTAGGAGTTGAAGGCACTTCAAATTGTAGTGAAAAAAGTGGTTTGTATGTCCCCATATAGGCATTACTATGGAGATGAAGCCCAGTGAGATAGCATAGGAGTGAGGAAAAGACAGTGTTTCCTGTAATACAGGAAAAAATGAGTTGATTGACTAAAGTGAAATTATCTAAGCTCTCTGATGTTGGTAGAGTCAAACATCAGCGTGTTCAAGCCATCAGAGTAATATGTGTTAATGAAGAAGGTTTGCACCTGTTGGCGGTCCAATAGAAATACAACATAACAAAAAAAGCTTCCGAACCAACTAATTGACTCAAAGTGAATACACAAAACTAGGCATCCAAAGGTATGATCTAGTATTCAATGAAGTGAGAAAGACCTTGGAACTAGGTTTCCAAATCTAGCAAAAAGAAAAGAAAACACGAGTGCTCTTTTGATAACGTCATTGTGGAGTTGCACCATATAGATGTGGTAGTAGGAGGTAGTAGGTACCCGTGAATTAGCCGAAATGTGTGCAAGATGTCCTAAGCACCAACATTATTAAAAACTCACAAAGTAGAGAAATATCCGATAAAAACGGCAAGTCCTTGGCAATAATCATGCCAACACTGCATGTTGGAAGAACTTTCTGTTATTGGGAAATATTTGAGTCATTTGATTGGTTATAGCAGATCTTAACTTGCTTGGAGTTGAAGGCCTGGCACACGTTTATATTTGATTGACTGTGCCAGCAAACCATGGCAAATATAAATTAATTTACTGTGGTTTGTCTTTGTGGTTGTTTGGACGATCATATGTGGAATAGTTAATCCCAACATAGATCCTTCTAAGATGATGCAAAGGTTTCATTGACTGCATAAGAAAATATAATAATCATATGACTAATGCAGCGTTTGATTCTTGGTATTAAATAATTCTTGCATTAATTTTGTTGCGGGAATCGGTGTATAATTTACTCTGTACAGTTAGAACGTGGAATAAGAATATATGTATTCTTTAAATTATTTAAGGGAGCAAATGCCCTCTCAAAGTAATCTGTCTTGTATAACAATCTCTATATTATTAATCAGCATAAATAATCCTTGTGATTTACTGTAATCCTGCATAACTAGTATGTATTGCAACGGCCCTTAATCTATAGTTATTACTATGATTATTATTCTATGGATGGAATATGGGCTGTACTAGGACACGTTATAATCATTTAGTGAGAAATGGAACTTCTTTTGAGACTTGAGCATTAGTTTGCCCCAATGTGTTTACTGTGAGCACAACACCAGTGGTCTAGTGGTAGAATAGTACATTACCACGGTACAGACCTGGGTTCGTTTCTAGGCTGGTGCATTCCTTTGCTCAAGGGTCGGAACGACCTCCTCTACCTTCACACGAAGTAGGGAGTTAGGCGCATGTACACACCACCATCAGTTAGGTTGGGATTACATGGGTATATGTTGTACTGAGAGCAATTTAGTCATTAGACTCATTCTAGTTCTATTTGACTAGAATGTGGAGACTAGAAAATTATACTATCTAGGAGGTAAAATAGAGCAAGGAGAACTTGTCCAAACTCTGTTCAGTTAATAGCTAATCCTTAGATCTCTCTTAACGATTGTTTTTACTATGGCAGTTCTAATAGAAGTACCTTTGCCTTGATTTAAGAAAAGGGAGGCAGTCTCGTAGCAGCATAATATAGATGTTTTTTAGTATGGTAAATATTTCATTAAAATCAAGTGTACAGTATACTGACATGCAAAAAGGTGTCTTAGATATATATGAGTAAACTAACTGATTTTCCCGCTAAGTGTGATTATTGCTTTTATGCATTTAACTTTGTGGATCATCTCAAGTGGAATTATGTTGTTAGTATCTTCTTTTTTGTCTTCTGCTGAAGAAAAGGCGTGGGGGGGGGAAATTATTTCTTATAGGAACTTAGGGGAGGCTTGATCAAGGTTAGAAAAATCACGAGGCATGCAAATTAAACAGGTCACAAACGTTTGATATTTTAGGAAGGCTGAAGGAGACAAATTCAGGTACATGATTGAGGATGTAAAGTTCTCCCCAGTCTGTTTTGCATAATAAAATGTGATAGATTCCTTTTTTAGATCCCACTGAGTTTATAAGCTAAAATTCCCTGCTGAGCCAGGACCAAATCTGCTATGCCTTTTGGGAGATTGTAACACAATACATTAACATTACAAAGAGTGAATGAATATTTAGTACCGACAGTGGTAATAGAAGCTTCGTAAGAGTCTAGACACTTCTAGAGTTCTTGAACCATGCATAGCGGAAGGCTTGAGCTTTGGCTTAGTTATCAAACAGAAAACATTTTTCCATATTCTCTTTTAATGTGTAAATGCCTGCACTTGCTCTCAATAGACCTTTTGACTCTTACCTTGGCCCATTGAAATGCTCCAAAACACATAACTTAGTTCAGAGGGCTTGTGAGTAAGACCGGCGTGAATTTCATCACCTGTCATCCATGTAATTTGAATGTTTCTATTATGTGATTGCTTTTTAGTTCTACTTGAAAATCTATAAGGTCTCTTTCTCCTTTTTTTGTTTAAAAATTTTACACATATTTTTCCCCTTTTTGAACTTCCTTGCAAATAATATTGATTGTGAATCCCATTTTGGCATATGCTTCTTTTGGCAGGATCTATCCCAAGCTGAATCAGGATCCCTCAGGATTATATATTTAGTGGACATACACTAGAAAGTAGCCTACAGCCTGAAAATTGCATAGAAATAAAGCCATGGAAAGGAGAGGCGGACGATACTGTGCTTTTGGATCTTATTCCATTTCTTGAATGTAGATTCTTAATTAATGGCTAGCCTAAGTCATGTTTTCCTTTTTGGGGTATTGGGGAGGTCACTGTTAATGACTTATTAATTTGAGTGCAGATGTTGCTAAACACAGGCCCAAGCTGATATCGTTTGTGTTCAAGCTGCTACCAAGGGCGTGATATTGCTAAAGAGAGTTCATTGAGCGATCCAAGAGCACCAAGGTCAAGTTTCGATGTTGTGTGTGGCTCATGCAGATTTATTACAATTATAAAAAAAAGTTCTTACTGGCTGTGGTATGCAAATCCTCAACACCGTGACTTTGCTTCTGATTTTTGTCTTGAATTTTACTCATGAAGTTTGCCTCTTCATATGCTTCCCTTGCCTTTTCTCCTCTGTCCCTCTTGAGACAATTAAATGTTAGGATACAGGTTTTCTTCTTTGTTAGTATATGGGACTGGCTGGGTTTTTCTTTTTGTAGGAGGGGAACGTTGTTGGGGTTTTACAGAAGAAGTAAATCTACTTTGCCTCGCACATTGGAAACATAAAAATCTTCTTTGCCCCATAATCCGGATAATTGTAGCCATTTGAGCTGTAGGCTTCCTATATTCTCGCCTTTCGAGTTTCCTTCTCTCCCCAAGCTTGAGGAGTTGATGCATTTTCCATATCTAGTATTTGTGAGAGAGAGATTGGTTTTAATCCACCCTCACCTATAAAAAAATCTAAAAGAAAGAAAAAGAGGTGAAGAAAAGAGTGCTACTAGACGCTTGACTGGAAAAATGGTAAGTAGACTGAATGAGCTCCAAAAAACTTTGAGTCACTAGAGGCACACACTGTTTTTCCTAGGCTCCTGCTAATTTATCTGGAAATGAGCTGTATATTAGAGTTACAGTGATAATTCTTTTCATTGCATTTTGTTTGATTGAGGCGTGAGCATTTGAGTTGTAGTTCCCCTAACTTCTGTAATATCAACACTATACTTCAGAGTCGGAGGTGGTTTGTCTCAACCCAAACCTGTCTTCTTTCGAGCTGCAAACTATGTGCCTCCTACTGTATTTGCATCATTCTATCTGCTATAGTAAGAGGAATTTTATTTCATTTTCTCCAAGTTTTCCTTTCTTATTTGCGCAGTTATTTTGTTTTTGACCCCTTAATTATAGTTGGTGGCTATGTTGTTTCAACTCTCCAAAAATATTGCAGCAACTGTGTCAAATCCTTAAAAGATGTGCTTGCTTTTGGAGGATCTGACACACAAACACACACCCACAACGACTTCTTTGTTTAGTCTGAACAACATAGATTTGTTTCAGCAAACCTCTTTCCTTTCGAGCTGCAATCACTATTGCATCTTCACTCTTCTGTAGTAAAAAAATCTCTTTCATATTCCAATCTGTGCCATTCCTTTTTGTACACTTATTTTTTGTTTTCGGCACCTTATTATAGTTGTACACCGTTTTGTTTGATGGTCTTAATGGTCGATCTTTGTGGTTGCAGGCGTGTGCAGAGCAAAGCAGCATGGTCGATTATGGCGCCGCTAGAGATATGAGTTCGTTGTGAGGAGAAATTAGGTAAGGTAAAAAAAGTATTCCTTTGTAAGATTTAGAACAGTTGATAGATAGACGTAAAACTACAATCCCATTTTTGTGTAGCTAGAAAAATATTTGCTTTTTTGGGTCAAGAATATAGCAGCATGCTCAATTCTGCCCTCCAGCAAAAGGCTTTTGTCGTTATCTCTTCCTTAGTAATAATCGAGGATGTCAATGTTTTGGCAACTAGGTGATTAGTATCTATTTTACTCTGATTATAGCACACTAACGAGCTGAGGTTATCGGAAAATAGTCTACCATTCACGACATAGAGGTAGGTCTGTGTATATTCCATGGTTGTTGTATAGGACAGTAAGGGTCCATCACATGATTCAACTGAGTTCTACGGAGGTGACCACTACGGTTTGTGCTAGTTGTAAGCTTAGTTGTAGAAACGGCAACGTGATGTATGGGTTATGTGCATGACGTACGTTCGAATTTATTTAAATTTATTTAGTGTGACGTTTTTTCATACTCAAACTTCTCATATACATTTTTATTCTAGTTCATGTGTTATTTTTTTAGTAATTTGTTAACAAAAACATATTTTTATATTTGAAAACTTTTAACTTATAAGCTTTCTGTTTTTGCTTTAATAATTTTTTTTAAAAGTTTATGCAAATGTTAGAATAACTTAATATTGAGTCAAATTATGTCATGTAAATAAATTATGTCCGGATCTAATTTTGATTTTTAAAAAATTTATATCAAGTTATTTGGAGGGCAAAACATATTATTTTTTTGTTTAAGGTAGGTTTTAATGCGACTATTCGACATTGAAGTGCGAAAATAAAATAAAAATAAAAGTTAAAAAACATATTCAATTCAAATGTCAACTAAATAAATTTGGGCCGAAAGTGAAAAACCAGAATGAGGATAAGCTTTTGAAAATTGTACAGATATTTCTTTCTTTGGATAAGCCTACAGAAAAAATTGCAAAAGCTCGTAGGCAGCAGAGCTCCATCTCCACTGCTTATCCAAGATTGCTGACTACGAGACCCAAAATCGAAATCAAAATCGAATTCTAGTGAAAACCCAAATGGCGATTTCATCGTCATCACTCTCAGCAGCTCTTTTCCCAGTGTGTAATTCGTCCTCCATTTCAGCACAACCCAAGTTCTCTGTTCTCTTTGCCTTCCAAATTCCGCTAAGTTACAGGTTTTCAACCAATCTCGACTGTCAACAACTAAGGTTTTTGCTTCTCCTGAAGTCTTGGATGCCCAGGATGTCTCTGCTGTTGTTGGTAGCTGAGGAGTATTTGGGTTATTATCAGTAGACTATACTGTATTAACATAAAAAAGGTGCTTTCTTTTTGCTCAATTGATGTTGGGTATTCTGTTAATTTTGCTTTCTTTCTAGGATATTCCAGCTGCCTCGACGCTGAGTGTTGGTGGTGACTCTGATAAGGTAACCTTTTTCTCTTCCTCTTTTTTTTCTCTGTAGTTTCTTATAATCTCAAATTAGTTCCAGTTTGCGTATATGATTCTGTTATTATAAATTGACCTCTAGTGAGGTGGTGTTGAGAGGACTCATTGTAGTTAGAGTCCAGAGGCGGATATCTTAACTTCATGTGTTTTGAGTTCTACGATAGCAATTCAGGTAATTGGGTTCTGAATTTAATTTCTGAACATATCTAGTACATTTATTTGTTATAGTTACTGAGTTTGAACTAAAGTAACCTTCTAGCTCTGCGCTTAGCTAGACTAGTTTTAATGAACCTATCTCGAAATCCTAACCTTATCCGGCTTGGGACTGCTGTACTTTGCTAAGTTCACATAGTTAGTGTTCTCTCTCTAGTCTTTGGGGGTGATGCTCGATGACTCAGTGTGACCATTCAGTCTTTTCGCATTGATGTTTTATGTTATCTTCATTTTGTGTATTTCTAAGAATGTAATTAAGATTTCACCCAAGTTGGCCTAGTGGTCAATGAATTGAATAGAGAATCATGAGCTCTCATATTTGAAGTCCCAACGGCAG